CTCTGTAGAACTGCAACAAATGATATGATATTCAGTAAAACCGCCAAACCACATAAAGCGGGTATAATGCCATTCGCGATTATATCATGCGCTTCATGGTTATATGAATCTTCCGTAGAATTCCCTGACATTGTGACGAAATTTAACTAGATTGATGTTAACTGTAGGTACGAACAGCACCCTTTCACATGGATGGCATGATGTGAGTACTAAATGAAATCCAAGGTCTCCTCCTTTCTTGTTTGCCAGAACAGCTTCTTGCTTTGCTGTTTACTGTGAATTATCTGGTTAAGATATTTCCTTGTTCCACGTATATTGTGCTTTCTTATGATAGAACCGCCCATTAAGCTTAGATCAATCATGGTTGGTTGTGTTCTTTTGGATTTTGGAAGATGTATAATTTATGATAGTTTTCATAATCAATAATGACGAATAATATATCAACGTAGTGACGCATAATCTTACCATTTATTGCAAATATTTATTACGTGGAACCTCGGTGTTTCGTTTTCCCTTTAATTAAGGAAACTTTATGTGAGAGCTAAAGATGCCCTCAGCCGGACGCTATTAGGCAAGTGCCCAGAGGGGGAATCATGGGGCTTTCTTTATCCTCGCGCAGAGCACGTTTTTTTCTTCTACATTCATTGAAATGATGTCGAACAAACAAACGTGCCAAGCATTGCTGTCGTTTTGGCTTCACTCCTATCTAATCCTATACATAATATATGCATCTAAATGTGCTGAAATTATTGTCTCAGAGCTTCCGATTTTATAACATTCTCAGGTAATCCCTCTAACAACCACGTTAAACTTGACGTTGTTTACACCTTTGAACCGCCGCTGCTCAAATTCCCGAACAAACCCCTGGTTAAATTAATTATGATTCAAAAAGGTATTAACATAACAAGCCCGTAATAAACGCTCTATACCACAGGATGACCTGGATATATAGTTGATTAGACAATGTCCGCTTCGTTCATTATCAGGGCCAAGGTACTCGAGTTTCCAGAACGGCGGGTAGTGTTTGCAGCTGCCAATATATATTTCTCACGATAATAATTCTAACCTTTATATTAGAAAATAGCATTTTAAGACATATTAATGTATAATATTCATAATAGACACAAAAAAACCCAAAAAAGTTATTACCGTATACATAGGTTTTTATTGGCGCTAGGAATATGTTGACTAATTTCATTTCGAATACGGTTGGTTTTATTCTATGCTTTAAGATCAATTAACAGTGTATTTTTGTTTCATTAATTTATACTAATAAATTATTTTTAAGAAACATTACTTGACGTACTTCTTGCTCCCTTAACATTCCGTGGCCTAGATGGCTGGGTGCCGGGGCGGATTGAGCCATCGGGCGATCGGACAAAAAATGAAAAAAATAATTTTGTCCAATTCGTCTAAAAACCTTTTTTCTACTGAACATTATATGGGGGGCGGGGGTATTGGACCGGCTATGGAGCGATGGTGATCATGTTGTATGTGGCCGGTGGCTTTTACGGGCCGCCACGCCATCACTGGAGTCTTGAATGGGCTAGTATAATAGACTTTCTGGGCCGGATGTGCTGGGTGTGGGCCGGAATTCGGAATCTTGCAATGGGGATTCCGAATTTCATCCGAAAATTTCATCGGATTCACCCCACACTGTCGCCCGCAAATTTACTAATTATTAAGTCACCTGCACCCTGTTTTTGGGGATACGCCAGAAACGTCTGCCAATGGTTCGTATATCCAAAAAAAGATTCAATTTTAAGACCTTAGCAAAATTTGGTGATAGCAGGTCTGCTGGCTGAATTTGACAGAGATTATAATCAGATATGCCACCAAATCGCATATTTAGGGTTCATTTTTCAAAATGTTCTCGCTGGAGAGCAATACGTCCGGGCTCCGCGGCCAGTAAAAGGGGCCGCTCCGACACGGGAGCCCGGGCCGGTTCCCGACCCCAATCCGCCCCTGGCTGGGTGAGTAAGAAGCTGGCTCGGTGTTGGCCGAGAAAGTTCATCGTTAGTAGTGCAGGACTGAGGGCCTATCAAGCACTGTTATCTAGTCGTTTCCGATGTGACAAAAAACCGAGGTCCCGTGTACACATTGGCGTGCACGTAAAAGATCCCTTGGCAGTTGGAATTCGATATTAGAGCAGGCCAAAATTTCCCTCATAGCATGCACACTACCGTATCACATATGCCCGTCTTCGTTAGCCCAGTCGGAGCATAACAGTGAGACGTTAAACCCCATTTTCCCTCTAGGTTCTGGGTCCCTCGCCTGGACAAGTACCCAAGCTGCCCCCCTCCCCCTACCCTCTGACGGGCCCTTTCTGACGAGTAGTCATTGGACGAAAAATCGAGTTCCTGTTTATGTTACACACCTGTATTTATTAGTGCAGAAAAGTAGGACGACAAACCTATTTATTTCGCAACGAAGGTAATTTGAGAGACCGACGGCTTCCGGTATAAGCCAAATTAAGTAAAAGTTATTATTTTTTAAATATCAACGCAACAAATATCTATTTATCTAATTTTTAAATCGACGAAACCGACTGGTAATACAATAATGTTCAATAAAATAATTAATAACCAAAAATAAAGAGTTGATCGATATAAATGAACACTTGTGGCTTACGAGGGATGATTGATAAGTAGTGAGTCTAACACAGAAAGAAACAAGAAATTCAAATCAAATGCATTTATTTTTCAACATAGTCCCCCTTCAATGTAATGCACTTCTGCCATCGGTGTTGCAGAGCCTTTATTCCAGTTCTGTAGAAGTCTTTGTCTTGGGTGTGTAGAAAATCATCCACCGCGGCAATGACGTCATCGTCAGACGGGAAATGCCTACCGGAAAGACATTTCTTCAGAGCAGGAAACAGATAGAAGTCTGAGGGAGCTAATTCAGGAGAGTAGGGTGGATGCTGAAGAAGTTGAAAACCACAGTCATGGATTGCTGACATGGCACCAGCTGATTTGTGCACTGACGCATTGTCCTGGTGGAAAATCAAACCTTTGGTCAGCTTTCCTCGTCTTTTGGTCTCAATTTCTTGCCTCAACTGCCTTATAAGTGCTGCGTAGTGTCTACCGTTAATTGTTTGACCCTTTTAGAGGTAACCCACCATGAGAACACCCTCAGAATCCCAGAATACTGAGGCCATCACCTTTCCTGCCGATGAAACAGTCTTTGCCTTCTTTGGGGTCGGCGACGTCACATGTTTCCACTGTATTGACTGCTCTTTTGTTTCTGGCTGAAATTGGTGGACCCAAGTTTCATCCATAGTAACAATTTGTTTTAGGAAGCGGTCAGGATCGGTTTCAAATAAGGCTAGATTCTCTTCTGACATAAACGCTTTTGATAAGGCGTCAAAAGCTTTAGCACCCATCGTGCTGAAACCTTTGTCATTTCCAAAGTTTCAGTGATAATAGAATGAACTCTCTCCTGGCTAATACCAACTACCCCAGCTATGAATCGTTCAGTAACTCGCCGGTCATCCATTATCAGATCATGGATATTTTGTATCATTTCAGGTGTTGACACAGTTTTTGGTCGACCAGGGCGTGGTTCGTCTTCAATGCTGTCTCAGCCACGCTTGAATTCAGCTGACCACCTTTTAATTGTGGCATATGAAAGAGCATCATCTCCTAATGTCTCAACCATATCACCATGTATGGCCTTAGGTGTTAGACCCTTTTTATGCAGATACTTAATCACAGCTCTCGCCTCGATATGGTCCATTTTCTGATAACAGACCCTACTTGATTGTTACGAACTGTCACAACCAAACAGTTTAACCGAATGTGATAAAAGTTTGTGACAGAGCCCGAGGAACATAATAGTGCACGTGCAAAACGTGGTATCATTGTGTTGCACGGTTTTCCAATCGAGGCTCACTACTTATCAATCCCCCCTCGTAACATCCTAGGCCCTGTTTCTCGAAATCTTAACTAAAGATAAAATCCAAATTTTATTAGATACTTCAATTTTGATTGACTGAGCTAAGCACTAAAATCAATCTAATATTATCCAATCAAATTACTAAAATCTTCGATTTTATCTTAGTTAAAATTTCGTGGAAAATTCCCCTGTTTTTCTGCAGCTGCTCATAAGCAGATGTTTTCACCATATAAACACCATAGCACTTTTATATTTTTAGTTGACATTAGCCCATCTGGTGCCGTCACTCAAATCTCTGATATGTTTGGAGCCAGAGCAGGGGTATTCCCTAAAAATTACAATGTTTTGAGAAGGATTTGAAGCAAAATTATCATAAATTATTTAGTTTGAATTTGTTTTTAGTCCAAATATCATCAAATCACACAGTTTGTATATGTATCTTTAAGTATTACAAAATAATATTGATTTTGACAATCGGTTAAAGATACATTCCCGCCTACAAACTTTGTGATTTGATGATGTATTTGGACTAAAAACATATTCAAACTAATAGACTATCCAAATTTGGATTCAAATCCTTCTCAAATCACTGTTTTCGCGAGGGAAAACCCTTACTATACAAAATCTATTAAAAGAAGTCATGTTTGTGTCACGTGACTTAGCTGACGCACTACCTAGCAACGGGTGCGAAGCCGGAGGATAATCCATTGCATACACAAGACGATGTTGTCTTTAATCCCTATCCATAAATATCGATGCCTAATTAAATTTTCGAATTATCCACTACCCACGTCTTTTTCCGTGTTTTTTTTTTTTATCTCAGAAAGTGTTGTATGTTTAGCTCTTCATCAAGTTTATTAACATATACATCAAGCGCTCAATCTTCGCGTGCTACCATTAACGTGACGCGAGCAGACATTCCTAATCCTCGGGCTGCCGATTAGGGAAACCCCTTACATTTCTGTCCTGTATGCGTTCCATGGTTGTTTTTAAGAGAATCCAGTATCTTTCTAGTCAGATTGGATATTTCTACTGTCCATATATACCATAATTGCCATACTTTCATGGGAAATAACCACACGATAAATAGGCCTACTTTTCTGGGAAAGTATCTTTAATTATCAAATAAAATTTTTAAATGAAAATACACAATACTAATAATTATAAGAATAAGAGAACAATTGGTCAGGTTTCTAATATGCTTATAGTAAATGTAACGGAAGAAGTGGATGTTTACAATAAAGTCATATTTATCTTCTTTGTGAATATACAATTATATAACATATACTAATCCTTTATAATATCATCATTTCCTTCTTTGTGAATATACAATTATATATCATATTAGAATCCAATCTATAATAACATCATTTCCTATCGGCTTTGTGAATATAATTATATATCAGTTAACTCCTTCCAAGAAGTCATGTTTTTGATAATTTTATGCTGACGTCATCATTTAACTTCAAAGCTCAGGTTTCTATCTGTAATACGTTTCTTGAACTCTTATTTTAACTGGCTGAAGACGCGTTACCTATGGCATTGATCCCATAATCAATCCCTCTTTACAGTCAAATAATATGGCAACTAAAAGGGTTTAGCCCGTAGACGTTAATTACAAGTTATAAGATACATTATGAAAGAGTCGATAACGAGTTGGCAGTTCTCATTATAATGGTTAAAAACTAGATGAAGGGTTTATTCTGAAAATTTCATTTAAATTGCTTCACTCTAAGCCGAGAAAACCTCATTTTTAAATTTTTGTAGCCACGGTTGTTATAGTTAGCGCTGTCGCGATAATTAACAAATTAAAGTCCCCAATGTTCACTTTCGTGTTTATTCATCAAGGGACGTTGAACAGCAGATCGGATTCAAATCTAATGAAAATCGAACAGATAAGATGTCATCGAGAGTTGATTAAGGTCTTTTCATGTTAATAAATGTCTAATTAATAGTTTATATGATCTTTCAGGCAGATTTATCTCTTATGCATGTTAAATTGTAAAACAAAGAATATTGGACACATGTGATTAGGAAAATATATAAAAGAATATGAAATACAGTAAGATACCATAAAATGGGGGGATTAAAATCCATTAAAATAATAAAATACGATGAAGATGGAACCACCACTGGTCGGAAAATAATTCCTTACAGCAGAGTGCACGGCGTATGTCCGTCTTCATTAGCCCAGTCGGTGCAGAAAAGTAGGTCGTTAAACTCCATTTCATGTAATGTCCTGTTTATTGCCTACCCCAAGACGGCACCCGTATTTAAAATCTAAAGAAACTATATACACACAAAACTGCAACATGTTGAAACAATACAAGAGCAACTGGCACATTTCGACTTCGATGATTTGATTCAAACGATGACACCATCAACGTTAGCCCACTCGGAGCAGAACAGTAGGACGTTAAACCTAATTTCATTTCATTTCTAATGATGGCAACTTGTAGAAGCTTTTCTGAAAGAAAATAATCGTAATAGCTTGAACTCGTATAGCCAGCCCCCTGTCCGCCCCCTGTCCGGGCAAAATTTATTTCCCTCCTAACGTTGACAGTTGGAATCGACGAAGTGTACACGGAAATCCACTGAGCAGGCAAAATTTCCCGCATTGCACACTGCAATTAACCTTGTTGGTAAAGAAAAGTCGGACGTTAGTCCCCATTTCATTTCACCTAGATAAAAGACCCCACGCGGCAAGTGAATTATTGAAATATAATTAAACAATATGTTAGTTCCGAATTGACCTAGTTTGTTTCTGTCGGATGGACGTTAAATTTTATTTTATTTTCTTCTCTTTCTTAGAAAATAATTAGATTACAATAGTTTCTTATATACATGCACCAAAGATGTGATATAGCTTCAATAGAATAAAACTACCTTACCCGTTGTTTTATATGACACCACCACACGACAAGAGGTATGATACACATTAGAACCAGCACACCTATTATAGACACAACAATAATAAGGATAGTTCGTCCTGAAACAAAGTAATTAGTAATGACTATTTAACAAACGACAAAAATATTTTAAAAAATAACCTTGTAGAATCAACTGCAGCTCAAATTAGACTGGTCACATATTTCACTAAACATAATTGATTTTATTTTATGATCAGTAGTGGAATACCGCGTTTTATCAGTGAAATAAAAGTGTTATTCCACTGGCTAGCAGTAGTCCATGTTGTTTTTACCTAAAATGATTGTAAAATCATAAAATAAATAGATCATTTGTCGTTTTGTCATGAATAACATATTTTAATTCATCTCTAAGCAAGAAAACGTTTATATTTTCACTCATGCTACTACGCATTCGTGAAAATATAAGTTTTCTTGCTTCTCGATGAAATAAAGTATGTTATTCACTCTAAAACGACAAATATCCTCTATATACATTACAATAAAGTTTTTAAAACTTCATATTAATCACTTTACATACGATTAAATTGGCATTATTCAAGAGCTAAATCTTCCTATTGCAGGTCTTTCTTTAGGGCTTAAATGTTATATGAATTATTAATCAGACGTTAAGCGGTAGACACACTAGCCGAATGATTCGGCCGAATCGTTCGGCCGAATCAATCGGCGTCGAAATTCGCCTAGTGTGCCCACTGTCATTCGCCCGAATCAAACAGGTTTGATATATTCGGGCGAATTATATTCGCCTGGTGTGTCCGCTTCGCCGAAGCATTCGGCCGAATATAGAATTCATTAGCCAATCACCACTCATATCGAGAATTCACGTGATACAGTGAAGACATAGACGCCGCCATGTTTAATCATGTGACGTGAAAGGTGATGCAATCGGCAGGTTGAATCGGGCGAAGCTTTCGGCTAGTGTGTCCACCCATTCGGCCGAATAGAATTCGGCGCCGATTGATTCGGCCGAACGATTCGGCTAATGTGTCCACTGCTTTACTTAACATGACAAGGCCATAATCAACCCTGAATGTCATCGGATGGCTCCGATTTTAAGTAGATTAGAAAGGTTCGGCCATTTAATAATTTGATTTCAAATAAGAAGCAAGGCTAAGCCTCGAATAATAAGTACCATTGTTACGATAATAAACAATCAACGCACACATTTGGTCAAAACTACAAACATTGATAACTTCGCTCAGAATAAAGTTATTTGGAGGAAATGGTTAGCACATGCGCGCTGTATCATAAAATATGTCATTGAGTCAACTGGCGTGGTTTCGATTCCCCGGTTGTACGAGACAAGGAGTAGGATCGCTCCGATCGCATGTCCAACCTCGTGGGTTTTCTCCGGGTCCTACGGTTTTCCCCCACTGCTAAAGACCCCTACGCGCAAGCGAATTATGGAAATAAAATTGAACCATATGTTACTTAATGGTCGCAATATTCAAAATTTGTATACTGTTTTGTAATGAGAGAGAGAAAGAGAGAGAGAGATAAATGGGGTTTAACGCCCACACGACACAAACTAGGTCATTTCGGGACTAACATATGGTTCAATTTTATTTCCATAATTCGCTTGCGCGTAGGGGTCTTTAGCAGTAGGGGGAAACCGGAGGACCCGGAGAAAACCCACGAGGTTGGACATGCGATCGGAGCGATCCTACTCCTTGTCACGTACAACCGGGGAATCGAAACCACGCCAGTTGACTCAATGACATATTTTATGATACAGCGCGCATGTGCTAACCATTCAGCCATCCAACCCTCTTGTTTTGTAATGCGGTGCTACTCTGGTTCACATCTTTTATACACTAAAAGACTAATGAAACCTTCTCGATTTTATTAAACGAAAGCAGAATGTATTCTTCTCAAAATTCTCGAAATATACTCAGCGTTTTCGACTAAAATCGTCAATTTATGACTTAAAATGTCGGTCAACTAGCTTACTGTCTGTTCTCAAGCGGAACTAATTGTAGACAGACAGCGCAAGTTTAGTATGACTAAGAGTAAGTTTCAAATGGCAAGTGGGCTACATAGCAGTGGGATTTCTGCAAATCAAGTTTCAAATGGCAAGTGGGCTGCAGTGGATTTTCTTAAGTTTCAAATGGCAAGTGGGCTGCAGTGGGGTTTGTCGAAATCAAGTTTCAAATGGCAAATGGATTTTATAGTGCAATTTGTCCTGTACGTAGAAGTCAGTGTATAAATACATACCATCTGGTTCAGATGTGTTTGGTAACGTAGATTCTTGGTTAGCTTGTTGAGGTGTTGTTACATTGTATGTCACTATCCCCGAAGTTGTTACATTGGATGTCACTGTTTCTGATGTTGTTACATTGGATGTCACTGGTGTTGTTACATTGGATGTTGCTGGTGTTGTTATATTGGATGTAGCTGTCTCTGATGTTGTTACATTTGATATCATTGGCGTTGTTACATTGGATGTTGCTGTTGTTGTTACATTGGATGTCACTGTCTCTGATGTTGTTACATTGGATGTCACTGGTGTTGTTACATTGGATGTTGCTGGTGTTGTTATATTGGATGTAGCTGTCTCTGATGTTGTTACATTTGATATCACTGGCGTTGTTACATTGGATGTTGCTGTTGTTGTTACATTGGATGTCACTGTCTCTGGTGTTGTTACATTGGATGTTGTTGGTATTGTAGCATTGAATGTCTCCGGCGTTGTTACATTGGAAGTCTCTGGCGCTGTTACATTGGATGTCGCTGTCGCTGGCGTTGTTACATTGGGTGTCGTGGGCTCTGGTGTTGTTACATTGTATGTCTTTGGCGTTGTTACATTGGGTGTCGCTTGCTCTGATGTTGTTACATTGGATGTCGCTGGTGTTGTTATATTGAATGTCTCTGGCCTTGTAACATTGGATGTATCTGGCGTTGTTACATTGATTGTCTCTGGTGTTGTTACATTGGATGTCACTGGTGTTGATACATTGGATGTCGCTGGTGCTGTAACATCAGATGTCGCTGGCTCTGTTGTTGTTACATTATATGTATCTAGTGTTACATTGGATGTGACTGTCTCTGGTGTTGTTACATTGGATGTCGCTGGCTCTGTTGTTGTTACATTATATGTATCTAGTGTTACATTGGATGTCGCTGTGTCTGATGTTGTTATTGCTGTTGTTGATTCAACACATGAATTTTGTGCAGTGTTTCTTTTTTTCGCACCACAACTAACCGTAAGTTTCGAAACCGAATCATTTGCTGAAAACATAAATCCAAGACATATATGATGTAGATCATTGACAAAGGATAATCAATCCATTCCATGCGAGATTTATATCGGACCTCTATAAAACAAATTTATAGACTAAGTCTATGTTAGATACGTTGAAGCAGTCACTGCGGCTCAATGTATATATAGGGCGTCGGCGCGATCACTACCAGAAGATTCGGTGTTGGCCGGAAAATAAATGAAGTGAAATGGGGTTTAACTTCCGACTGTTCTGCTCCGACTGGGCTAATGAAGACGGGAATACGTCATGCAGTGTGCTTTGATGGACAGTGGCGCTACGGCCTACTCCAATATCGATTTCCAACCCAAGGAATCTTTACCGCGCACGCCAATGTGTACACAAGACCTCGGTTTTCCGTCCCATCCGAACGACTAGACAGTTGTCATTGTCATGCCCTCCGTCCTGCACCACTGACAAGGGGAAATCACCGTGGCTCCAGGCTGGAAAATAAGGGTAGCGCAACTGTCTGACTAAACTTTCCCTCATAACACAATGCATGGTGTATGCCCGCCTTCATTATCATAGTTAGTTAAAAAAAAGTAATTTAATTGAAATTGTAACATGCACGGGAAATCTTCCTTTGTACTTTTCGTTGACTAAGCAAATTTATTTCCCTCTAGTAGATTGGGTGGAGCTTAAAGGAGCTAAATCGCTAACATTTGGGACCTAGAAATTGACAAAAGTGGGTCGCAACGCATATAATACTGTAATATGAATGTATATAAACTGATTTACATTCAATGGTTTCCGTTTTTACTCCAATTTCAAATCAGAGATGTTCGGCGAAATAAGCCAGCAGTTTCAATCGAGTGCAAATTTCTAGCGTCTGGTTATTCCAGTCTACATACGCCGTTCGATTTGGTGCAATGTGTCTAGCCTCGTCCCTCGAGTCTCTTTTTACAACTGGGGCTGGAGCGCATTATGGTACACGATTCGTGTACCAATGGTAAAATGTTTATTTTGTCTTAAATATTGGATATCAGAAGCCCATCTTATTCCGGTAAGATCACATCATCAATGTTGATTTAATTTGACAAATAAATCGTGTTTTCAATGTTGAAAATTTTGGATGATATTGAGTTAGAGACTTAGCTACTTTAACCGTGCAATAACTAGACATGTTCAATGTTATTGAACTCTTTTGCTGGTTTACACTAGTTTTAGTAGAAATCATATAGAGAAGTGGGGTGGGTTTTCTGTGCAATAACAACAAGCATGTTGAGCAGGTGTCAATATTTCAAGTCATTTATAGCACGCTTTATTCGTTAACAGGTTTAACATATCGGACTGCGACCTCGATGTTTAAACCTGTTACCTCATGAAAGCCGTGCTATAAATATAACTTAACAGACCTAAACAGTAGAGGTAGATTACAGTGAATGCAGCTTCAAGCATATTTCGACCAGTAAGATTGCAGTTTAATTAGATAAGTACAGATGTGCTTTAGACATGCACTTATTATATTATATTGCAAATGATTAAGTGCCTTAAATTATTTAAGAGCTAAATCTGCCTATTGCAGGTCTTTCTTTGGGCCTACTATCGGATGGCTTCGCTTTTGAGTAGATTAGTACGGTTCGGCCATTTAATGATTTAATTTTAAAAATGGAGAAGCGAGGCTATGACTCAAATGACCAATACGGTGGTTACGGCCAATGCACACACCTTGTCAACCGTTGATAAAGTAATTTGAATGGAATTTTCAATATATTAATTTTGCATTATCTATTTTGGAAATATTATAGCGAGAACGGCCAGTTCTTTATCTAAATCTTACATGGTGTCCCTTTAATAATAAAAATTCGCAGATGCCAATAATGTTGGGTTAGAGGTGGACATAACACTGTTTCTAAATAAAAATCAATGCAAAAGAACTAATCAAAGCCTTTCTAGTGTTCCTTGGGGTCTACAGCGTGGTTTCCTCTTGTCAGCAAAGATCTAACAGAACCGTTGACAGCTGGAATGTGACAAAGAGTAAGCAAAACGCCCTGTTGAGTATGCCGTCTTCTTTTTTGGTGTAGTATTAAAACAAGATGTAAAGTTATTTTTAATAGTGTGACAGGTTCAGTTAAATACCCCCACCTGCCCCACCACTACCTTTGCTGAAAAGTGGGAGCTAAGAAAACAAAAATATTATATACATACCTTTAAGCTGTATCCAAAATCTATGGCCCTCTGTGACATTAATTTCTAGCTGTAGAAAATGGTCTGAACTTTCCAATATTTCCTTGATTCTATAGTCATTGTTATGGTTACAATTAATGGTACCGGCATCGCATGTCAAATTAACATCAATAGCTGTTATTACCACAGTAGTGCCACAGGCGCTTTCTACGGTGCATGCTACTTGTGATGTACCTTCTCCATTCTGAAGATAAATCACCTGGTTTGTTAATTCCGCGTCGCTGCTGTTAGCTATGATCAGATCATCTAGATTTCAACAATAAAGAAAATAAAATTAACAACAAATGGTTTGGAAAGTTGATATAAATTGTCATTGTTAGAGTATAATAAGTGTACATTAATGCAACTGCACCATGCATCGGACAGCCGCTCTGTGGCCATCTAAGTGGCGACTAGACGCCATTCCTTGCCAGGAGGAAAATTACAAGAAATTCGGGACTCTATGGATAGCGTCGTACACACTGATCATAAATCTTTATGGAAATTGGGCAGAGACTCCAATATGGTACAGTTTGTATGCCCATTATATGGAATATTTGTGGAATAATTTAATATTTTATAATATTTAATGCCCGGTTAAGAAAAAAAGCGTACCCCATTATTTTAATTATTTAGCAAATAGAGTCAGCTAGTGCATGTATTTAAAAAGTAATCGGATATTGCACTTAACTGACCTAATGAAAATCTCATTGTATCAGGTATGCGCAAAAGTAATTTCTTGCAATATTGTGAAAAATAAATCTTTAATAGGAATATCAGTCCACAAAATGGTTCAATCCCGTCAAGTATTTACAAAGATGTGTTAAATTGAAATTTTATCGATCTAAGCTGTTCGCTATCTCATAAGCCCGATGCAATTGTGTTATCCGTGAATAATTAGTGATGGGTCTATTTTAAATCCGATCGAATCCAAGGTAGTAGATTATCTAGCGTTGGTATTGATTAATTTTTAATAATGAACTTGAGTACATATTAGCGTGGATTAAGCCGTGAGAAATGTGATAGTTTTACAACAAATGCCAAAAACGCATCGGCAGTTTTAAGATATTATTTTAGATTACGTATTGTTCTTTATTTAGAAATGGCAAGAATTTTGACTCTAATATGTCACCAATTTGAACACCTTATCTCGGTCTTTCGTCTCATCCGAAGGACTAGACTCTCCCCCATGTCAGATCCTACGTCCTGCTCCTGTACCACTAACATAGAATCGAGTCGCTGCCATAGAATATGGGGTAAAGATGGATATATACCTGCGATACACTCGTATCTGGCCATCATATATGTTGAATAACTAAAATAGATTGAAGCATTGCATGCACCATGACTAGCTATCCATCCAACTTTCTCTTTACAACCATTTCTCCTAGTGCAAGATTGCAATATATAATTGTACTTGTCTTCTTTACCAGAGGCTGTAAATACATCTACAGCACAGTCATCGTTACTATAGCTACAGCAACCATCACTGTAAATATAACATACTATAATCACTGTTACTATACCAACCACCACTGTAAATATAACAGTATAATCAATCTTACCATAACAACCATCGCTGTAAATATAACATAGTACAATCACTGTTACCACAGCAACCACCACTGTTAATATAGCATGGCACAATCAATGTTAACTTAACAACCATCGCTGTAAATATAACATAGTACACTGTTACCATAACAACCATCACTGTAAATATAACATAGTACGTAGAGCCTCTTCCCAGCCGAACAACTAGACAGTGTTCCTTGCCACGTCCTCCGTACTGCACCACTGACAAGAGGAAACCATGTCGTGGTCGAAACCGAAACCCCCTGCTTAGCGAGTTAACGCCTTACTCACTTAGTTATCGCAGTTCCCATCAAGTCGAACTTGTAATTGTTCTTAGTGTTTAATGTCCGCTTCCACCGAAGGTGATATCGCAGACAAGTCTTATTTTTTTTATTATTATCTTAGCGCACGCGTCTTTCTTGTGGGAGGAAATCGGAGTACCCGGAGTAAACCCACATACGGTAATACCAGGGATCGAAACCACAGCCGCAAGCCGAGGTGAACGGACAGCTAGAGGCACTCTAGACCACTAGGCCATCCCAACCCCCAACTAGTGTGTTAAATCATTTATACTTACAAAAATGAAGCATTTGCTATAGGTGGCTTGCAGTCCGTGGAATCTGATTTTTTTGTCACGAAATATAATTCGCGGACTTCTATTTGTTGCGATACTGTACAGTTTAACTCTAAGAATTCATCTAAATTGGTGTAACAGGCCGTCACATTATTTAGACCCATAAAGTGGCCTGTACATAAACCTGGAACAAATTATTCTTTTCTGAAGTCAATTTTAAAAAAAAACTGTTAAAGGTTCTGCTACGTCTAATCCAACGTTATACCCCCGTCAGATCGGGTTGGTGTCCTTACTATACTACTACGGCGACGGAAAATGGTCCCAGAGCCGTCAAGATCTCCATATAGCAAGGTTCAAAAGTGCGAAAAGCACATATGCCGGGGGCCGTTAGCGTTTCGAGCCAATGGGGTTTCAGGAAGTCGTTCCCAGGTCCAGGGGCGTACATATCGATTATGCACACGCCTCTAATACGAGTGACGCAGCCACGAGCTGAGCACGGCAGGTGGCAGCTTTATACCCCGAAATGCCATTTCCTGGACTTGGGGGGTAAATTTTGTAGAATTCTGATAGTCAGAAAACACTTATAACATGAGTAAAATTGAGTACTATTATGCATGAGAATTCATGTTATTTTGCTTTGAAAAACTGGCGCGTATTGTGATATCGAATTTAAGCATTTGGGATTTTCCCTTCTATCTTGGCATTTTTCATTTACCTCATTAATTCATTTAGTAGCTGGTGCAAAATTTTGCGAATGACTGCACTTATTGTGCTACCGACTATTTTTTTTCTGACCTACCGCGTCGAGATAGTGTAAAAAGGCTATATTTTCGTCACTAACCGAGTGAAATTAGCATGGAGGCTTTCTGTCAGTCGTACAAAATCGACCAACATGCAAACAGGTACACCGAGAGAATTGTTGAGACCCCACCCCCACAGGACCTGAGCAAGATCGGGCTATGCGGCACGAATACTAGTCATGTCGACGTAAACACACAGTAGAAATGTATCCGGCCCCTGTCATCTACTGAACCCCGGTGTGATGTGCCGGTTACGCCGCCCTCTACTTGGAACTGCCACAACCCACTTTCCTATCCTTAATATGGCTATAAATCTCCGATAACGTTGACCAGGACAATATTCTCAATGACTGCCCCCACACATGGTAATCCCATTTTTTTCCTGGGGGGTGGCAACAATCTTCTAAAATGTCTAAAAACATTAAATGGCTTACCTGTTAGAAAAGATATGATATATATCACCCATGGTATCATTATATCGACCATTTTATATAATCAATAATATGATTATTCCATAAGACGTGATAAAATTTAGACGAATCCCCATGCACACAAAATTTCACCTTTATACTTCCTTGTATGGGTAAATGTGAAATAAATATACATTTTCTTCACGGATGAGAAATCTCCGTAATCTAAACAAGTCGGTAATAAATACAACTCGTTAACTATTATTTATAATATAAATAATGTATACATTTCTAGATCGACTGATATAATTAGGAATTATATCCACCCGTAAACATTATTTATACATGTGCAGATCAGCTGAAATTCAATACCATGTCCTTCTCATCGGGGCTATCATGATTATTACACAATAACCACCCATCTCGGGTCATAGTATATTATCAGGTATTTGATACCTACCTGATACTACTGCCTACAAATGCATATATACGAACATAGAAGCTTTATACTTTTAAGTTTGTTCACGGTAGCTTACTCCAGTTACAAATGCGGGACAAAGAAACGCGGTTTAAGATTCACTCGACACAAATTATGTCATTTCGGGACTAACGTGTATAAATTGTATTGAGTAAGTGTCTTTAGCAGTTGAAAGACACCGGAGGACCCGGTTGGACAGTCAACCCTACTCCTTATCATGGGAACGAAACGACGCCATTGAATCAATGACAGACCTCATGACCTAAAGCACACGCGTTAGACCACTAGACCCCGCCCGTTACAAATGCACAGTAAGTACACATTACAAGAGCATTCTGCATTAAGAGACCCGCTACCTTAACGCAGACAGCTAGCTATCATTTAGTTTTCGAGCGATAGTTTATACGTACATGTATACGATTGATTGTACGGGTTATCATTGGCTTTGATCAAATCAAAGCATGGTCAAAAACTAAAACATTTAAAAGCAAACAACAGTATTAAAAAGTTTAGAATTTATTAGGCCAATATATTCGTCATCCAGGTGTATAAAACCATACGATATATATTGAGAATACCCTAAAGGTAGCATGGTTTGATATATATCTCTTAGTTTATTCGATATCGCGTACACAGATATATTATTTATAACTCGGGCTCTCTTTTACTTTGTGTATCGTTTTATTCAGATAACTCAATTTATAGCAATACCTAAGTCATCATATTTCAACAACGCAAACCGACATGAGTTAGATTGTACGTCTTAAGCCTGGCGCACACAACGCGACGACATTGGCAATTTCGATCGACGACGATGAAAAATCAAAAACTCGTCTAGTGTGCGCACTCGGTCGGTCGCCAATATCAGACATGTTTGATATGATCGCCCAAATCGTCGCTTCGTCGGTAACAAATCTTATACCCATACTTTTTCTCGACTCTTTGATGAAAATAGGAGGGTATACACCGATACACGGCCACTTTTGAAAAGTGTCCGTGTATCAGTTGAAAAGTGGCCGTGTATCAGTTGAAAAGGGACAAAAATAACAAAAATCATGATTTACATATACTGAGCGCCATGGAAAATGCATCGCTTTTTTTTCCCAAATATTTTATTACTAGGTGGTTTTGTATGTATAATATTATGCAATACTGTGAACTATTGTTTCACACAATGCTCCCAAACGCAAAAAATATCGGCCCGTGTGCAAAAAAAAAATTGCAGGAGATGCACATGAAAAACCCAATATGCACGTGCAGCATTGTGTGTGAGCCCTTTAAAAGCATGTTTTAAACTTAATGTGCAGTACATGAACTGTGAAACGTCAATCTGTCGTAATTTGTTGTTGGACGTGTGAAGGAATCGAGCTAGAGATGCCAAGACTTACTGAAAATAACGGAATGAAGCCATGGGAATGTCCAGGGCTGGCATGTCTACACGTGCCATTGCCAGAGACTTCAATTGTCATCAGTCCACTATTGTAAGGTTGGTGGAACGTGTTCGAGTTACTGGATCAACACGTGACCGTCAACGTCCTGGTCCACAACGCGTTACAACCCAGGCTCAAGACCGCTACATCCGGGTCACTCATCTGCGTGACAGATTCCGCCCAACGACTCGAACAGGTGCAGCAGTCGTCGGAAGACAAGGACCAGTAAGTGCCAACACCGTAAGACGTCGTCTAAGAGAAGTAGGACTCCGTGCACGACGACCTTATGTTGGAGCTATCCTCAGGGATCATCACCGTCAGCGGCGTTTGATATGGGCTCAAGGACACCAGACATGGAGAAGAGTAGACTGACAAAGTGTGCTCTTCAGTGATGAGAGTCGCTTTCATCTTTATCACGCTGATGGCCGTCAACGTGTGTGGAGACGTATTGGGGAACGTCTTGCAGACTGCTGCGTCTTCGAAACGAATCGATGGGGTGGGGGAAGTGTAATGGTGTGGGGAGGCTTCACATTTCATCACCGGACCGCCCTACACATTTGTAGGGGTCGCGTTAATGCTGTAGCCTACCGTGATGATGGCCCGTGGAGGACACACGCGCTACTGACATCTGTGTCGTACTTTTTGTTTTGACCCCTCTGACTTTTTACCCTTGATTACAGATTAAACATCAATAAGTGTACAAATGTGTTGTTATTGATGTGTTCCCATTTGAATATTGTTCACAATAAGAAGCAAAATAAATAAGATATGTTTACAGGATCATTTTGTTATACGAAAAACTAAGTGATGCGTTTTCTATGACGCTCAGTATATTTATTTGAACATCTACAACCCGTTTTGAACATGTTAAAAAAAGAGTCATCATTTTCAACTGTCTCAGCACTTTTCGAATGTGCGCCATCTCAGTCAGATTCTTACATTTTGTCTCGCATTTCTTTACATTTTGATGCCTAGTCGCACTTTCACATTTTGTCGCGGCTTATGCTCATCCGCAGCACATAATCCAAATATTTTACTATTATAAATTAATCTCTTGGCATTTTCAACACTAAACACTTTCACATTTTGTCGCGGTTTATGCTCATCCGCAGCACGTAATCCAAATATATTACTAGTATAAATTAATCCATTGGCATTTTCTACACTACAAACTTGAGAACTCTACAATTCCAACTCGTCTTCATTTTATGGCTGTTCTTGTTTTTGTCTGTCAGTGGATGTCAATACCTCGCGAAGTTAATGAATTGATCTGTGCGGAAATTAGCAAATGTACCTTGCTTATCAAAAAAGTTAAAATCCAATCTTTTGTACTGATCTCGAAGTGTCACCATATTCCTATGCAATTGGTATTTTTCCTCGTGTTTGGCAGAATTCGACTCATCTGCATGGCTTTAATTTCTTGTTCTGTGAAGGATCGTGCTTGTAAATCTTCGCGATCATTGAAATCTCTTGCAGAACTGATATTCTCGGTCTTAGAAATATATATCTGTGAATTTTATAAAGTAGGATTCTTCGACGAATTCTCGCATTCATTTCTGCCAGGATGTTGGCAAAACAACAAGAAATGGCTACATGTATTGTACAAAATGATTGGATGACGTTTGCTTTTCCCAACCAATCAATATCCCTGTTATGAACATTTTCCCTGGCCTGATTTAAACCGTGAAATGCACGTGCGGTGTACTGACATCATTTACCTGAGTGGAAATAAGCGTTTGCGATGGGATATTTGGGGGGCTCTAAACGGGAAACTTTGATAAATTTGTGAAATGAAAAATGCTTTTGAAATTGGGAAAAATAGAAAAAATCTCTATTTCTCGAAAAAGTATTTAGTGTAAGTCGCCTCGGAGCCCCACTCAAAAAAGAGACGGTGCATCAACCCATACACCTTGAAAACAAGGTATATAATAACTATTACGTGTGATGTGCTCACCTCGGCGATAAGTTAAGCGACAACCAAGGAAATAAATTCACCTATACTATTCAAAAAAAGTAGGGGATATTTGATTTTTAAGTGTTATTAAAGTCACCTAATGAAACTGACGAAGAAACAAATGACAAAATGAAATGAAGTTCACATTCATCGATTTATTCCAAATGATCGTTAGACTAAGTAAGGCACAGACTGACCATTATAAGGGTAAAATGATACCCGGGGTCAAACAGCAAAGTTACCACAGCATCACAACCAAGTCAGTAACGGGTAAATCCTCCTCTGTTTGCCAAACAAGCATTGATCCGACGTGGCATACTCCTAATGAGACGTCTAAGGTCATTTTGGTCCAGATTGTCCCATTCCTGTTGCAACGCAGCAGCAAGTTCTTGGACATTGGCAGGACGTTGTTGACGTTGACGTAACCTCTGTCCAAGCATGTCCCAGACATGCTCGATAGGGGAGAGGTCGGGACTCAGTGCTGGCCAAGGTAATGTGGTGATGTTCTGTTGTTGGAGGTAACCTGTAACGATCCTGGCCCTGTGACATCTTGCGTTGTCATCCTGGAAGATGAAACGGCGGCCATGACGTCGTGCGAACGGCACAACATGGACTGCCAAGATGTTTGCCAGGTAGTACTGGCCTGTAACACGCCCTGCAACAACATGTAAAGCCGTTCTTTCAGCAACAGTGATGCCTCCCCACACCATAACAGAACCACCCCCAAATCGATCATGTCTGATGACGTTAACGTCTTGGAAGCGCTCGTTTCGACGACGCCACACCCTCCTACGTCTGTCCAAAAAATCAACAGTGAACCTTGACTCATCTGAAAACATCACATTGCTCCAGCGTCGATTATCCCAGTGTTGACGATCCCTACACCAACGACGTCTTGCCTGAATGTGATGATCTCTCAAACAAGGGATCACGCGAGGACGTCGGGTGCGAAGGTGACCCCTATGCAGTCGATTCCGAATCGTCTGGCCACTCACTCTCACACCAGTGTCTGTTTGAAGACGAGCGCTGATCTGATTTGCTGTGATGACACGATTTCTCAAGGCCAAGGTACGGATAAATCGATCCTGGGCTTGAGTTGTCGCCCTTGGTCGACCTGAGCGTGGTCTGTCCTGTACAGATTGTGTATCACTGAGAAACATTCATCGTCCGCGCCACAACCGCCTGTGTTGTGCCGATCTGTAGCATGCCAAGGGCACGTAACCTTTCATTTTGGGTAAGCCGACGCATA